GCACGTCAGGAAAATTTCCTCAGCCCCTCTGAATTTCTTCTATGTTCACATTTCTTTTCCTGTCTCACAAGTAGGGAGGGATTGGCAGCTTGGTGACAAACACCTGGGAAAGAGAAATGTGCATTGTCCCTCTTAGGACCTAGGGGGGCAAGGAGGGGAAAAGGCACCTGAGTTCAAGGGGGACGCTCTCCTGATATCTGACCAAATCAGAGGGCAGGGCCAGCTGGACAGGACTAGGGATGTACAGTGACGGCCCCATCTCCTGTAGTTTGGGAACTTTCCCAAGGGGGTGCATAAGTTAGCTGCAGCCTTTGATCCCTAGAAATGTGGCTCCATAACCTGGTAACTCACGAGTTAGTTCAGGTAACTTGGTAGAGGGCTACCCTGTCTGAGGGGTGCCAGAGCACAGGTCACAGAAGATCAAGGAATGGCCGCTGGGGAGAACCATCCACAGGTCCCGGAGAGCTCACGGCTTCAGGGTCAGGTGCTGCAGTGTGATCTTTGAGGGTCCTGGGTATTAGTCTCCAGGCACACTCTCTCTGGCACTCATTGCTTGAGAGCAATAGAAAGAGCAGTACCTCGCCAGCTGCTTTCCAGAGCTCTAGAAATGCTTCCCTGTCTTTGTAAGTCTGTGCACGCTTCAGTATAAATCACGACGGGGATGCAGGCTCTGGTCTAAATGGATCAAAAGAGGCTATTGACAGATGCTGAAATGAGTGTCTACCTTTAACACCAGGTCAATTGATAAGTGTCTGCCCTAGACTTTTGACTGACATGAAGAGCTGTCAAAGGAACCGTCTTTCCCGGGGATGACAATGAGGCAGGAGGAAAGAAGAGAGAAAAGGGAAACCTAGCACAGGACCTGGCTCCCAGGTGACCCTCTCATGTCCTCGCTGGTGCACCCCTGCAGCTTCAGGTTGATGATGACATTCAGCACCTGGGCTGGCTCAAGGATTAGAGACAGACATTTATATCTGAGAGTTCCAGGGGTGGGACTTAGGAGAAATTAAAATTGGTCTCTATCCAATAGAACCTTATCACTAATTTATTTTTAATCCTATTTCAAAATGATTAAAAGATAAACCTAAAATGGAAAACAACAAACAACTTTTCCCCCCATGTGATCCTATAGGGAAATATGTACCTTAATGGAATTAGGCGCAAGAAGGGCGTCAAGGTCCAAAAACAGCCTGGCCTGTGCTCTTCTATTTTGCCGAGCAACGTGTCACCTCTACAAGGGGAATACTGTGGAGTGTATCTTATTTTTGCCATTTCATTTGTTCCATATTTTCATCTGATGAATATCTGCAGAGTTATTTCATTGAAGTGCTTTCATTTGTCCAGAAGCTGGAATTATAAAGTTCAGCATTTCACTTCTGACAGGCAGTAGATTCAACTGTTAAAGCTCAACTCTGCCCCAACCCGGCCTGCATTTGCCTTAGGGGCCACAGCCACTGCTCCACGGAAATGCCTCTTCCCTTACTGGAACCCATGCTCCCTGACTTTCTCACAGGAGGACCCCCAGTCCTCACCGCTACTTTTTGAGGTGGGTATTGTCACCCCTGCAGACGAGGAGACTGTGGCTCACAGTGTCTCAGTAACTGGCTCAAGGGCAATGGAACACTTGTTTTTTAATATAATTGGAATGAAAGAAACTATGATAAAAGGAGTGATTTGGAAAGAAATTAACCAAAATGCCAAGGACATTTGTTACTTACTAGACTTCACTCAAGATGATTTTGCAAGACTATCATACTTTTCACCTAAAAGACAGGATCAGGCAGGACTGGATGTTTACATGCAGTGATAGATGCTTAATTTTGATAATAATGATGATGAAGACTGTGGTTGTCAAACTACTTTCAAAACTGTAGTCAGTTCATGCACCATAGCCGTGAAATAGCTACTTTCCTAATAGGATATTAGTAGATGATTGACAGCTCCTTATAGACATCTGCAGGATATTCAGAAAATTGAAGTGTTGTATGGATGAATTATTTATAAATGAAATATTTCCATTAATAGATTACGTTTTACTGCCATTTGTCTGGGGTTGGAAAGGAGGGTTCCAGAGACTGGCATCAGCAAGAAATATCTATTTGCCCAACATGTGTTACTGCTTGAATGTATTTTTAAATTTTTAAAATTGTATTTCTTTTTATCGCGATCATGTTGGTTTAAAACACTGTATGTGATTCAGGGGTATAGGATCCCACCTCTTCAGATGTAGGTTATCACACCACACCCACCACCGTGGCAGCCACAATCCTCCAACATAATCCATTGGCCTCCCTACTCCCTTTCCTGCCCACCTTCCACTTTCCCTTTCTGAGCCTCAATCCTGCAGCAGATTTCTAGAATTTGCTTAGCTTAGTGTGTTCCTTTGATTGTTTCTTTAAATTCCACATAAAATCCTCCACTATTTGTCTTTCCTCTGACTTAATTTCATAATCCCCTCCTGTTCTATTCATGCTGTCACAAATGGCAAGCTTTCATCTGTTTTTGCTTTTAATAGCTGAGTAGATTTCCCCTGTGTATATACATCCCATCTTCCCAGGTCACTTATCATCATTGGACGCTTAGGTTGTTTTCATAACTTGGCTATTGTAAATGAACACAGGAGTGCATGTATCCCTTTGAATTAGTCATTTTGATTTCTTTGGGTAAACACCTGGGAGTGGAATTGCTGGATCCTGTGGTAGATCTACTTTTTAGTATCTTGCAGAATCTCCATACTGTTTTCTATAGGGCCTGGACCAGTCTCCATTTCCATCAACAGTGCACAGGTGTTCCTTTTTCTCCACACCCTTGCCAAAACTGGCGGCTTCTGGTCTGCTTGATATGGGCAAGTGTAATTTGATCCTCAGTCTGGTTCATGTTCTTCATTTGCGCCCCCATTTAAGACCAAGAGAGTAAAGCTACTGTCAAGATATTCAGATTCTGAGTAGCCACAGAGGCAAATTCTCATGAAAATCAAGCCTGAGAAGCTTATTAACCAAAAATGAATGGGGGTGGGAGGAGGGAGGGTGGGTAATGGAGAAGGAGCAGGGGGTCTGAGGAGGACTCATTCCAGATTTCAGTTTCTTTTCCTCTTATTTCAAGACTCTGATGACCTGTGCACATTTGGGAACATAGAAGTGAAATTACTAGTAAGATTCACCAAAAGGGAAACTTGCAAGGAGAGTAACTTAGAAAAGCCAAGCTGGCAGCACCTGCAGGAGGTCATGGGTGAGCTGGGAGCAGCAGCAGAGTAAGGGTGGGGTGGATATGTCCTGTCTCAATAAGCTCTTGAAAGCTCTCCTTTTCAAAACCTGATGTTCTAGGAAAGAAAGTTCCAAATCACAATATAAAGAAGCACAAAAAATGCCATATAATTTCCTAGCCTGAGATAGGTCTTATTTTCATGCCCATATTATAGATGAGGAAATGAGACTAAAGTTAACAATTTTCCCGAAGTTGCATAGTGGCAGAAATTGAAAGTAGCAAGGAGCCATGGGCCTGAAGCTTCAGGGTGAACCTGGCAGCTCATGACAGTGGCAGGGGCAGGCAGCACGCACAGGACAGACCTCTTCTCAGTGTCTCTGCCTGCCCTCTCTTCTCACGAGGGGCCAGTCACTGGATGCAGGGCCCACCCGACTCCAGTATAGTCTAGTCTATACACAAACATATAAAGTCTGCATATTTGCCTCAGGGAAGATAGCTAGTTAATTAGTTTTAAAATGTTAAGTCGAGGGGCCTCCCTGGTGGCACAAGGGGTCAAGAGCAACCTATGAAGCTGTCTGCAGCCCCTGAAGCACGAGTTCGATCCCCGGCCAGGGAGCAACACACATGGCACAGCAGACCTCTCCTGACTCGCCCGCTGCTCCCCTCAGCAGTGTACTTTGGTCTATCTGCCTGTTCTGTTCCCCCCTCTGTCTCTGGTGAATCCTCTCACCCCCCATGCCTCTGGCCTGTACCCCAGCTCCTGTATGCATAAATAAATAAATCTTTAAAAATAAAATAAAATGTGAAAGTCGAGAGACGCCAAATTTAAGAACCATTCACCAAAGCGGTAACCAAACCATCATGACAACAGGGAAACTCTTGCTCTATTTGGAGTTAAAAGGGTTCAAATGAGAATGTAGAGACAAGAACAGTTTGCTTCAGGCCTGCACAGAGAGCCAGTCACCAGAGCTACCTGATTTCCTGGCCGAGGCGCCTCAACCAATGTGCTCATTTTCAGACAATTCTATATGTAGCCGAATAAGTGTTCAATAATTGAGAATTGCTTCCACTTTAGCTGACATCTTTCTCGTTTGTGCATAAACTGTTTGTGATTTTATCCCAGAGAAAGGAAAGTACCTTCAAAAGGCCTCACCTAACTTTCCTCTGAGCTAAAAAGGTACAATTTTCACCAGGCTAAAAGTTACTTCTCCCCTCAAATCTGCTATCATTCTCCCTTGTGTTTCAGGGCCGCCAAGTGTTATCAAAATGCCTCCCTGACCTTCTCCTTCCCTTTCCACCGCACTCTGACACATCCAGCCTAAATCTGCGTCTTGCATCACCTCAGGAAACTCATGGCTAATTTCATTATTTGGGAGAAAAAAAATGCAAATGAAGCCAGACAGCTGGTGCTTTCCTCGAGGCGGAGAGTGATGGAGGGCTGAGGCCCACCTCGTCACAGGCCTCACACCCTCCTGCTCAGACAGGCCCTGGCAGGGGGAGGGCAGAGGGGCTGCGGGAGCAGCGGGAACAGATGGCTGGGAGGGGAACAAGATGGAGGAGCCCAACTTGTGGGAGAGACCAGGGAAATGGGTGTCAGTTGTGTGGCCAGTCAGAGGGGGCACGCAGAACAGGGACTGTGCCCTTACCAGCATCCCAAAACACCAGGCACATCCAGGCACACGCACCTGGGCCACCTCGCTCACAGGCAACCCATGTTCCTCTGCTCTGGCCCACAGGGCTGGGTCTCTCCATTTTCTGTGAAATCAACATCTGCTTTCCCCCAAAAAGTAGTTATCTAGCTAGCTAGCTAGCTAGCTAGCTAGGTATCTAGGGAGAAAAGCTGGGAAAGTCCACTTCTTTTACCCTGAATGATTCTCAGTTTGCAGCCCAAGTGGGTAAGATTTCAACTTTATTTGTCCATAACGGATCTTTTGTTTCCTGATCCTACTTTGCCAGCTGGATGGAAACTCTCTCATCTGTACCCTCCCTTCCTCTAGAGCATCGCTGAAAACGAGAAGATGTAGAAAGTCCCAGAGTGGGGCTTTAGTGCCCCTCTGTCCACATTGCTCTCCACTGAGGCAGTCATCTTCCCTGTCAGTCCTTGACCTTTGGGCCAACTTTACAGCTGAAAAGGTCATTTCTTCTTGTCCCTCCATGTCCTTCCAGCACACATGGCGCTAAGTCTGGGCCATGCCAGGCTGGGAAATCCTCGTGCATCATCTCAAGCTAGGTTAGCATTTTGACACTGAGTTCATGGGGGTCATGTGTTGCTGCCTCTTTTTCTTAAGAGCCTGTCAGGGGGCAGGTTCCTACAGCTCCCTCATACCCTTCACTTCCCTGCTAAGCCTCCTTAGAGAACCCTCACTTACTCTGGGCCAGAAACCTGCCTCTTTCCCGTTCTGGATTCTCCTAAAATTTCAACCAAGAGCTGAGACCAAGAAAAAAGCAAGACAGCCCCACCTTCCACTAACAAAACAAAGTAGCTAGAATTTCTAAGACATCGACTTATCACTCAGAAGGGAAGAAAATATGGGCGTGCCAATGGAAGCCTCCAGTCAGATTTCGTTGGGATGCATTAGGGACTCTACATCTCCTTGAGTTATTCCATTAGCTGACAGATATTTTAGGCTAGGTGAGGTCACCTTAGTTCACCCCAGTCTTCTGTGTCATCAACTATCTCAGAGACCATTTAGTCATCTTGGAAATTTGAATGGCATTCTGGTCAGAGATCAGGGTGTCTGATGTTCACTGACACAGGCACCTAAAGTCCTGGAAATGTGGACAGGGTCTGAACTGTGGAGAGGACAGTGTTGGGAAGGTAGAGAGAGGGGATGGTGGAGGAACTCAGATTTAAACATGACCTTCAAATCAGCCCACTGATTACAGCAAACCTGGAGAGGGCTTGCTGGCAACTCATAATCATTCCTCTCGTGAGTACGGGGCTTGTCACATTTCCTAGCACTCCTGCTCTGATTCTCTTTCTTTGAGCTCACAAAATCTTTGCAAAATTGGATTATATTATTTATTTTCACTCTCTGTCCAAGTCCACAGATCACTGTCCCAAAGCTTCCTGGCTCCTAAGGACACAGCCGCAGTCCAGGCAGGGCTTATGTAGGCTCTGCCGGTGCCACCACAGTGGCTCTCTGTGGAGTCAGAGCCAGAGGCCACAGCCACCTGCAGAGGGAAACCCCAGTGGTTTTTCAGCCTTAACGAGAAAGCTACTGCCAAGAGGTGTGTTTATAGGACTTACTAGAGATTGAAATGAACCCAGTTAACGACAACCCATAGAATGCTCGAGAGGCCGTGTCATTTGTACTGAGAAATCCTGTCCCAGGTTTTGGCTTTTCAAGGTCTCCCCATACTGTCACTGCCTTAGTCTCTGATGCGTCCGTCCCAAAATGACAGGACACCATCAACTGACATCATAAACCACACAAAGTCATGAGCATGAGACTCAACACAGTCTGTTCTTCGCATCCTAACACTGAAAACTCTCTGGGACATGGTTTCCCTCCATTTTTGCCCATGAGCTGAGCGTGCCCATGGGCCATGTCGCAGGCCAGAGGCAGGGGTGGCTCTGACAGGCGGGCGGATGCAGTAAAGCTCGGCCTGTGGGGTCCCTCTTCCCCGTGTCTGCTGCTCTCCTGTCTTGCCTGCTAGTGCCAGGGCACAGCCCCTCCCTCGCTGTCAAGAGTGTGGCCAGCAGCACGACACGGGGTGTGTGTCCGTCACGCGGTGCTTCCTGCCACGGTGGCCCATGCGCTGGGGACACCCTCTGACCTGACTCAGCTGGGGCTGAGGGCAGCTGGGGGTGGTCAGCTCCCACTGTTTAGGATGCTCTTTTGTCAGCAAAATCCCCCCGGTGTGGGCTGCACAGATTTACAAGGCTCAGAAGAAAACCAGGAGGCCCTAGGAGCCGCCACTAGCTGGCGGGTGAGCGATTCTCCAACTTGGAATTTCAGTTGAAAAGGGGCCAAATCCAGGAGGACTTGCTACCATGGCTGTCAGTCAGTGACAATGCCACTCAGACAGAAGAGCTCCTGCATCCTCTGCGCCATCCGTGTGCCCAGTGGGTGGCAGCAGGGCTCTCCCAGCAAGGAGGCAGGGTGGTCCTCAGGGGACAGAGCCTCAGATGGGGGACTGGGGCCCAGGGTTCCCCGCCTCTGGCCTTGGGGCCTCTGGAGGCTTCACCCACACAGCCCCACACCCCTCCTGGGCCCTGTACCTGCTCAGCTCTCCCCAACCCCTCCATGCCCCCCCTTTACCCACTCTGCTCCCCTGCAGAAGCTTCACCATTTCCCTTGCCCTCCTGGCCCTTCACCTGCTCTGCTCCAGGGACATCGGTGCCACCCAGACTTCTGTGCTGCGGTCCTGAGCGTCTCATGCTGCTCCTGGCCCCTCTGACTGGGCCCAGCCCCTGAGCCTCTCCAAAGCCTCACCCTTCCCGGTGTGCTCCTGTTCATCATGGCCACAGAGTGATTGTGCTTTGGGGGGTGGGGGTAGGCCTTCTGCCGGGTGTGGTGGTCCTCAGTCTTTGCTGCTTTCCTGTCGGAATGCTGGGCAGCAGCAACAAAATTTGACTATTCTGTTAATTATTCTCCTAGCTCTGGCCCTCCCCCTTGTCTGGAAACACCTGAGCTTGCACGGCAGCTATTTTGAATCTGGCTGACCGTGTCTGAAGGGGCCACTGAACTGGTCCAGCGCCAGCCACGTCTTGGGGGAGGTTGCAGGGTGGTGCTGGAGGTCCGGGGAGCTGGACTTGTGTGTTGTGCTCCCCGGCGCCCTCCAGTTGGGGTCCTGCCACGGAGGTGCTTCTCTCCTCCCAGGCGTCCTCCTGCACAGGGCCTAGCTCCGAGGGTCTGGTCTTCTCGGGGGCGTCCTCCTGCAGGGGGCCTGGCCCGGAGGTGGTGGTGTGCGCCTGGGCGTCCTCCAGCCCAGGGACTCTGTTTCCCGGGGTGGCAGCCTTTTCCCTCTGCTGGACCCCCCGCTGTCTCAGGATACTTGGCCTTCGGGTATTCCCCGCAACCTCAGGCCGCGGGGGGCCGTCCTCGGAATCGGGGTCACCATGGGGGAAGGGCTCACGGAAGGTGACGCGCCTTGGCCGCTCTTCCTCCTCCTGGTCCTCTTCCCCCTCCTGCTTCCTGCAGCGGAGGATCAGGTACGTGCCCATCACTTCATTGTACCTTCTCCCCTCAATGGCCTCTTGAATATCCTGGCACTGGTAGCCCAGGCGCTCCATGGCTTTTATGATGCGGGGTCCTGGTGGCCGAGGGACGGCTCGCGGAAGGGCAGGAGTCCTTCCACCCAGGGGTGCTGCTTGATGCTCTCCAGGGAGCTGCGTCTCCGCGGGTCCCGTGCCAGCATTTTCCTTAGTAGGTCCCGGCACTCGACCGAGAGGTCGGAGGGCAGGTGGACGTTCCCGGCCAGGACGCGGCCCCTGATCTCCGCGGGGCTGGCCCCCTGAAGGCCACTGTGCCGGTCACCATCTGCAAGAGCGCGACGCCCGGCTCCACACGTCCACCTTGGAGCCTTTGTAGCGCCGGCGAAGGTAGACCTCGGGGGCCCTGTACTCCGGGCGACAGCAGCACGAGCTCAGCGCCTTGTGGAAGCCCTGGACTCCCTCTCGGGTCAGCAGAATGTTCTCGGGCTTCACATCGCGGTGGGCTATGCCTCTGGCGTGGCAGCAGCTGAGGGACGAGAGGATCTGCCGAAAGAGCTGGCGGGCCTCTGCCTCCACCAGGCACCCACGCTCGCTCAGGTGTTCCCGCAGGTCTTCCCCCTCCACGCACTCCATCACGAGCTGCAGCTCCTCCCTGGTGTCCACCACCTGGAGCAGTTCGACGATGTTCGGGTGGTGAAGGACCTTCATGCACCCATCTCGTGGGCCAGGAGCCCGAGGTCGGGCAGCTTGGACTTGCGGACGTCGGTGATGAGCACCTTGGGGCCGGTGAGCACGTGCAGCGCCAGCTTCACCTGGGCGTGGGCGCCCCGCCCGAGGTCCCGCAGCACCAGGTACATTTTTGCTTCACGTCCCTGGGGAGTGAGGCGCTTAGACATAGCGAGCTTGGACTTGAACTGTGCTGACTACGCTCACAAGCCCTGACTGTGCGCACAGCCCTTGCACTACCTCCGCTGACAACTAACTCTATGATATCATGAAATGTACTACTAATCTAATATTAATAGCACTCAAAAAGTATTCACTAAGCTCACTAAATACCAACAATAACTAACTTAACTCTAACTCTTAACTAACTTAACTCTACCAGCAATACGAACTTCACTAAACTTACTAGCTATACAAATACTAACTGCACTAAAAATAAATGAAAATACAAACAAAAAATTACAAATGATATAAAAATGTAAAAATATGATGAAAACAAACCAATTACAAACTAACCACTAAATTTAAGAATAAAATATAGAACAATAACAAAGACAAATAGGACAAACAACAGAACAATCAACAATTAGAAACTAAAAACTAAAATATAAAACAAAGGGGGAAAAAAAACAAACAACAAAATAACAACAGAAGGGAAAATGGGGGAGAGCACACGAAAAATAAAAATCAAAAACTAAAAACTGAAACAAAAAAATTAAAAGAAAAATGAAAAAAAGAAAAAAACAAAAAAGCCAATAATAAAATAATAAAGGAAAATAAAAAACAAAAATAGAAAAGGAAAAAGAAAAATAAGCAAATAAACAATAAAGGAAAATAAGGGGAAAAAAACAAAGAAATAAAAATAAAATAACTAAAATAAATAGCTAAAACAAATAACTAAATAAGTAAACAAATAAATAAACCAAAAGAAAACCAAATAAACCAAAACACGTTCTCTCTCTCTCTGTCTGAGTCCACAGGTCACTGTCCCAAAGCTTCTTGTCTCCTAAGGACACAGCCGCAGTCCGGGCAGGGCTTATATTGGCTCTGCAGGTGACATCACAGTGGCTCTTTGTGGCATCAGAGCCACACCCATTGGCAGAGGCCACAGCCACCTGCAGAGGGAAACCCCAGTGGTTTTTCAGTCTTAATGAAAAAGCTACTGCCAAGAGGTGTGTTTATAGGACTTACTAGAGATTGAAATGTACTCAGTTAACGACAACCCATAGAATGCTCGAGAGACCGTGTCATTTGTACTGAGAAATCCTGTCCCAGGTTTTGGCTTTTCAAGGTCTCCCCATGCTGTCACTGCCTTAATCTCTGATGTGTCCCAAAATGACAGGACACCATCAACTGACATCATAAACGACACAACGTCGTGAGCGTGAGACTCAACACAGTCTGTTCTTCGCATCCTAGCATTGAAAACTCTCTGGGACATGGTTTCCCTCCATTTTTGCCCGTGAGCTGAGCGTGCCCATGGGCCACCTAGCAGGCCAGAGGTAGGGGTGGCTGTGGCAGGCGGGCGGATGCAGTAAAGCTCGGCCAGTGGGGTCCCTCTTTCCCGTGTCTGCTGCTCTCCTGTCTTGCCTGCTAGTGCCAGGGCACAGCCCCTCCCTCCCTGTCAAGAGTGTGGCCAGAAGCATGACATGAGGTGTGTGTCCGTCACGCGGTGCTGCCTGCCACTGTAGCCCCATGCTGTGGGGACACCTCTGACCTGACTCAGATGGGGCTGGGGGTAGCTGGGGGTGGTCAGCTCCCACTGAGATTTCTGGCTTAGAAATATCTGCTGCTTGCTCCAGCTGGGGGTTGGGGGGTGGGGCAGGTTGGTTGGCAAAGGACAGGTCCAGACGCTGTGACCCTGAGCCCTGCCAGAAATTACCTGGCATCTGAAAGTGGTGGGTTCAGGTGAACAATGGGGGTTCTGTTGCCACTCAGGCTGCAGGTTCCTTTCACCCTCCAAGCCTACTCTGCTCACTGCTAGTATCAGCTGAGGACCAAGTCTCACCTGAGCAGCCTGGAGCACAGTCAGAGTCTGAAGCTCAGAAGCATTGGCTCAGGGGTGTGGGGACTGATATTGCTCCAGGGCCTCTTTTCCCAGGTCCGGAGGGCAGAGGGTTTGATTTGGCTCAGGGCATGAGGACACACAGGGCAGGCTTCCCGCTAGTCTGTCGGCCCCTGGGGAGCCTGACCCATTAATGGCTTGGAGAGGTTGTGCTGCTCCCTCCTGCCAACTGCTGCTGCTGCTGCTGCTCCTGAGCTGCCATAGAGAGCGAGTTATGGCCACCCATCCCCTCCCCAACTTGGTGCTTCAGTTCTGTAGTCAGCTCTTAGGGTTAGTTTTTAAGCTTGTCTTGATGTTACTATTAATTTAGTTACTTTATATTCCACATATTTGTGACACCATTCAATAATTTTTTTTCTCCTTCTGTTTATTTCACTCAGCATTATCCCTTCAAGCTCCATCCATGTTGCAAAAATGGCATAGGTTTATCTTTTTTGATTGCTGAGTAATATTCTCTTATTTATATGTATCACATCTTCTTGGTATAAATACCCAGAAACACCAAACAAGTTAGATTTATTATTAAGGTTGTAAAGCTAGTAGAATTCTTTTTCAGGTAACTTAGCTACATATGTGATATAATTTTTTCAAAATTTCCCATTAAATCTAATAAACTAGTTTTGATTTGCAATATCATTTAACCATTGATCTTTTTCTTATTTTCATGGGAATAGGCTAAAAAAATTTCATAGCATTTTCACAAGAAGGGAAGTTTTTCAGAGACCTTTTAAATGTAATTAAGAGCTGTGGTCAAAGCCTTGGGAAAGGTTTCCTAAGGCTGTCACTGCAAGATTGTGAGGTAATCATCTGTATCATCTTGCTCTGCTATAATCCTCACAGAGCTTAAACCAATGACTATGCCTAAGAGAATGGAGACCAACCTGGGGTCATCCCAATGGTCTGCAGTGATGCACTCGGTTTTCTTTTGGTTTATTTATTTTTTTACTTATTTAGTTATTTGTTTTAGCTATTTATTTTATTTTTATTTCCTTGTTTTTTTCTTATTTTCCTTTATTGTTTTGTTTGCTTACTTTTTTTTTCTTTTTGTCTTTATTCTTTCAATTTTCAAATTTTTTATTTCCAATCTTTTTCTCTATTTTATAAGAACTATGTTTAAGAATGCCATAATCTCTCCAGTATCAACTGAAAGGAAATATTTTTGTGGATATGTCTTTCAAATTTATATATACTCAAGCATCCATTTTTATATAGTATTGGAGCCCCCCCACCCCCACCATCTCTGGCCTGTAACCCAGCTCTTGTATGCATAAATAAGTAGATCTTTAAAAAAATAAATAAAATGGAAGAACCACACAGTGATTGGAGTCTCGTCACCAGCCCTCCTTGGTGGCTCAGCTTGTCTCCTGGGTCTCCTGGTTCCCAGACAGGATCCTCTTTTTGTCTCCACCCTCCCAGCACACACTGCCCACTTTCCTTTAGTATCATTATACTAGTTTGTACGGGAATGCTTTGGCATGGCCTTGTAATCTCCTGCAACAGCCAACCAAGTCCTTCTGGCCCCTGGTCCTGCCCCGCAGGTGCTGATAGTACTTTGCCTCTGTTAAATCCTTGAGTGCTTTCAGTTCTTCCTGTTCATTAAATATAATGCAAGTGACTCTGTTTTTGAGAAACTGAGCTGGCCACCGAGAGGCAGTGCCCTTCTGTCTTTCGAGGAAACAACGTGGAAATGATCCTGTTAATTGACTCTTTTCAGAACACAGTCCGAGTAAAATATAAATGCTTGCAGGCGTCTTCATATGCAAACTGCAGTTTCTCCAAAATGACCTCCCGTTCAAAAATCGAATGCTTTTGAGCTGTATTAATCCTGACAATATCCAGGAGGGAGAAACTGAGGCCCACCAGATGCTTTGGCTGAAAGTCTTAAGTCTTGGAAAAAGCCAGAACTCTCAAATTCATTTGTCTTAGTTTACAGAGATGCTGTTTTGCTTTTAAATACTTTTCCCTTTCGTACCCATCCTTTGGCCTGATGGCTGGCCAGGATGCACACTGTCATATGTGATTGCATTACCATGACTCACTTTCTCCAGGGGAGGACAGGGAGGCTCTGAAAGATGAAGGAGGTACCAGCCTGCAGGGGTTCCCCAGTGCACTCCCACCCCATGGCAGGAGCAGCATCAGGGCCCATTGCTGAGCTGTGCTCAGTGGGCCATGCCTCCTTTTCAGGGAAGAGCAGCTGCAGCGAAGTTCTGCAAATACTGTAATAGAATTTGTTAACCACTTCCACAGGATTTTTAAAGTAAATGTCACACTGCATTGTAACAGGGAGCTAACAACACATTCGTGCTTCTCATTCTCATTTAATTCACTTTCCAAATACTGAAGTCTCTGCGATGCCTGTGAGAGGGCCGCATTCAGTGAATTACTCAGCAGCTGGGCCATTTATTTCTTCCCTTCTCCCCGGCTGCCTCCCTGGGTAGCTTGTGAAGTTTAGTTATTGCTAGGCTGCCTCTCACGTTGCTCTCCTAGAGACAGTGCAGCCGTGGGGCTACAGACTGCCAGGTCTGTGTCCAGGCCACTGGAGTAGAAAGTGACCCCACTTTGTCCTGGACTCTCTAGGCCCCCCACCACCTTTGTCTGCTGCTGAGGCCATAGGCAGAGCGGGGCATGTAGGCTGCGCAGGGGCTCTCCCCTTGCTGTATCCGAGGCAGTTATGGGTTGAATGTGTGTTCCCAAAATGCCAGGGCTGAAGGTCTAGTTTCCAGGACCTCAGAATGTGACCTCATTTGGAAACAGGGTCATCACACATGTAATTAGTCAGATGAGTTCATGCTGGACTAGGGCGAGCCTCAACCTACTGAGAGAGTGGACTAGAAAGAGAGTTTATGACACATTCTATGATCTGACCCACGCTTCTCTCCATTTCTCCCACCCGGAGCACAGACTTCAAGGGTGGGCTTTCTGCTCGCTTAGTCTATGCCCAGCACTGGAGACTCTCCAAAGGGGGTAAACTCTGGGATTCTCTTGGGCAGGGAGGAAGGTCTTAGAGAAGCACAGGTTTACCAAGTTATGTTTATGTCTATACAGCCGGCACTGCCCAGTATAGACACTTAAGACAGCAAGGGACTTGAGGGGATTCCATAGATACCCCATCTGTGCTATAGAAACCCTTGCACAGTCAGGCAATAGATTCTGCTCTGTCTCCAGACTCCCAGTTAGGAGTGTGCAGTAGTGATGGTACCTAGGTAGTATTTCACTGGGTCTGTCCCAATAACAACAACAATGATAGTAATAATGATGATGTCAACAACCACTACAATGACTCAGTCATGCATTGAGCATTTACTACACGCCCAACCCAGAGTTGATCCCTTACCTTGTGATCCTGGGCAGTTCATTTAATCTCTGTGTGCCTCAGAGTTTGCTAATTTGCAAAAGAGGGCAATAATATTGAAACCATTAAAAGTGTTAGTCTTGGGCCTCCCTGGTGGCTCAAGGGGTTAAAGCACCACACTATGAAGCAATACGCAGCCTTGGCAGCATGAGTTCAATCCCCGGCCTGCCAGGGAGCAACCCACATGGCGAGGCAGACATCTCCTGTCTCATCCACTGCTCCCCTCAGCAGTGTATTTCAGTCAGTCTGCCTGTTCTTTTCCCACTCTGTCTCTGGTGAATCCTCTCACCCCCCGCATCTCTGGCCTGCACCCCAGCTCTTGTATGCGTGACTG